TAAGATCAAGTATATCCACTAAGAACGAGAAGGTCCACTCTGAAAACAGACATAATGCCCAGGATATAGTGGGGTATTACTGCACTTCTTGGAAAAGCATCACTGTTTTTCCAATTTGAATACATAAGTTCCTTGGCCATTTTAGCAAGAAGATATTCTTACAGTATCTAATCTTTTCACATATGTGCAGTTCCTAAAACATTAAAAAACCTTCTACCATATGATGCAACCATTTGGTACCTTCAAATTTACCAAAAGAAAACTAAAGCACTGACCCATACAAGACTTAGACCCAAACGTTAAAAAAAACCTTCAGTTGTTATGGCCAAATACTGAGAGTTCATGTAGCAATCAGCAGATGGATGGATAAAGTATTACCTATCCAATAAAATATTCCTGTTTCAGTAGAAGTAAAATATTTGCAAATCCTGTAGTAACACATATGAATTGATAAGTATTTGTGCTGACTAGAAAAACTGCAAAAATAGAGCACCATATAGAACCCTTGCTGCTGCTACTGCTGTTACTACTACTATATTTATTATTATTATTATTATTATTATTATTATTATTATTATTTTGAAAGTGCAGACTGGATTGTAACGAGATATGAGCAGGCCCTGCTTTGAATCAGTGTGGGGGCCACTGGGAGGATGGCTTACAGAGGCCTAGGAAGAACATTCTGAAGCTGATGCTCATTGCTAGAAGACCATAGCGAAGCTTCATGTGCAGATAGATATATGTCAGACTCACCAAGTTTTCTATTTACATATTTAATAACACGCCTCATTGAAGCTGGCAGCCCTACGAATGATTTAATGGTGGTGTTCTTAATGAAAGTTATCCAAATAAAGCAGAAATCCCAGGGGACAAAAAAGGAAAATATTGATGCTTTCCACTTCAGTATGTTTTTCCTAATCAGGCTCCTGGAATAAAGTGAAATCTTCATATGAAATCATCAGCTAGGTTAACATTCAAATTTAAAAAAAAAATGACCCCTAGATTCACACTTTCAGACTTCATACTGTTAAAAGTTTAAAAACAATAAAAAAAAAAAAACATTGACGTTCTCCCCAGTTTCATGTTTCATTCACATGACGCTCAGCCAGAAGTGTGCCTAATTCTTGGTCAGAGCTGTCAGCAGGTGTAGCCTCATTGTCTATTTTAAGAATGAACATGAGTCATTGAGCTCTTCAAAAGCTAAATTGATTCAACACTAAGTCTAGAGTGTCTCTTGATTTTCAAAAGGCCTGACAAATTAATAAAACACCCAAGATCATCACGCCTGCCTCATCCCCTCATTTAAAAGGCAGCTACTCTGTACATGATTTAACTCCTCCAACCCAGTGGTTGCTCTTGCCAAATGTAATCCATATCAGAACTTCTGAAGTACAAAGTCATGGATCTAGAGAAACGGGCAAGACGGCTGAGGATGGCTTTAGGCTCTTACTAGCATGGTATTCACATCAGCTGCACACTTAAACCGGAAGGCATCTGTCAACGAGGAGTTAAATTTATCATCCTCGTGCATTCCGCATGGCAGACTGATTTCTCTCCTCTCTCTCTCAGCCAGCATGTATTTGAGATACTGGTACAAGCTTAAAAAGCAAAACATTTACAATGGCGCCATACCCACAACTGGGTTCCTTTAACTGCTTTTGTTGGTTCCTACTTACAAAGCTCAAATTGCCATGTACACTGCCATTCAACGACTGGTGTGAACAAACTAGACCTTAAACTTTTCTGGAGCTCTGCACTGTACACAGGCATCTATCTTGAAGCTAGAAAAGCAGCAAACACTGAGTAATCAATAATGTCTAGAGTACCCAATGATCATCTCTTTTTATTTTCCTGTCATTGAATCTGTGTTGTAAATAAGATTCCTATCTAGTTTTGGAAGCCACTGCTGCTCACGCATGCATTTTTTAAAATATAGGCCAAGGTCAAGCCACAGCAGTCTGTTTCTGAGGCTGACTCCTTCTGCCACTACCTTGCTTGTTATTAGTACACTTAGGAGAGCGTGCCAAGCCTCACCTTGGCTGCCATCTGCTGTGGCCATCCAGGACATCAGCTTTCATGAGCCACAGTCTCAAGCATAACGCCAGAGAGGATTATTTGCTTTTAAGTTTGGCAAGAACAAGGGAGGAGATTCTGTGCTTTAGTTGAAGGCCATGTCCAGCCCCTTTATGTCACATCTCACTTCCTGTCTGAGGCCAAGTATTACACGCCATCTCTGTTTTTTCTGGTCGACAAGGATACCCTGAATTCAGGCCAAACTCTCATCATAATACTTTAAGGATGAATGCACAAATCAGGATGTGGTGGCACACGCCTTTAATTCCAGCACTGGGAAGGCAGAGGCAGGAGGATCTCTGTGACTTTAAGGCCACTCTGGTCTACATAGTTCCAGGACAGCCAAGGCTATGTAGAAACCCTGTTTCAATAAGGAGGAGGAGGAGGATGGGGGAGGAGAGTGGGAAAAGGAGGAAGACAAGAAGAGAAGGCACAAAAGGAAACAATAAAAAGCCTATTGCACTTTTACAAATTAAAACTATGGCAAAACGTCCTTTGTGTATGGTAAATTCAAAGCCTGAAATCCATCTCTGGTCATCTAAAGCTTCTTCATGTTCATAGTTATCCTCTTCAATTTTTCTGTTGGTAAATTGGACATATGTAGCTAAACCTTTTGTTTTGTAGCATGGAGGCTTTAGCCCAGGACCTTGACAACCTGGACAAGCAGTTTTCCATGAAGCTATAACCTCAGCCTACAGAGCAAGTTCTCAGATACTACACTTCTCAGAACACTGGCCTTTCCTTGCTCTGTGTCCATCTCCATTTTTATCCTTTCTCAATAGAATTTGTTTTTATAATTTATGAGAATAGTGCTCAAGAGTATGTATAGTCTGGTCTAATATGCTGACATGTGCCTATAGTGTTACTGGCTCCTAGGGATGTGGAAGATCAAGTCCAGGAGTTGAAGCCAACTTAGGCAAAATAGCATGAGGATCCATCTCAAAAGATGTCCCAGTCAGTAAAGTAGCTGGGATTCCCCAGCAACTGCTTAAAGGCCAAAATACTTTTCTTGCAACCCCAGTGCTAGAGAGGCAGGGACAGAAAGACTGAATGTTAGTGAGAAACTCTATCTAAAAAAAAAAAATCAGGTTCTGTGTGATTGAAGGCCACACCCATGTATACTTGTACATATAAACATATATAGATAATGTAGTATATGTATATCTAACATATATACAAGTAAGATAGGTTGGGATATGGAGATTATATATACTCTAAACCAACTTGTATGTTCTCAAATTTAAGTTACAATACTGTCCCAAGGCAGAACAAGTCAGCCAATAAGGAGACAGTATTTTCTCTGTATGGGACAATTAGGAAGAGAGAGGAATTATTATCCCCATTCCTAGTTAACTGTTTTTATATACTTCACTACATCTCAAATCCTTTTCTCTCATTTCCCTTCTGCTCTATTTGTCTCTAGCTTTAGTAACCTTGAAGCCTTTTCTTAAGCATTTACCCGTATAATTATTTTTCTCTCCGTATGTGGCCCAGGATGATGTAACTAGTCCCTTGAGCATTAGATTGTCTCAGCCTCCTCACCCAGCCTCCCTACTTATTTTTTACATTAAATTTCCTCCATGATGCTGAGGCTGAGGTTTTAGTAAGTGTAGCATAAGAATCAACAGCCACTACTGAGACAATCTGGGCTAGTCAAACCTCAGGGTGTAGCTTTCAGATGAGCTGTGTGGTTTTTTTTTTTTTAACCACACTCAAGTCTGAACCTTTTGTTTTGAGCCTAATGCTGATTGCTGTCCTCAAACATCTTTGGATGTAAACAAAATGAAAGAAAACCAAGTAAACAAGACTAAAATAGAACAAAAAGAGCCCTCAATTGCAGACCTCAAGATTATAAAAGGTACTTAATCCTATTTTTCACTTAAATCTTAAAAGGACCAGATCTCTGTCAGAGGCAGCCCTGCTTATACACTGAAGGCCTAAATCAGCCATAGGCCTAAAATCAGCAATAGGCCTGACATTCATGCCTGCTAACATAAAGTCTTGGGTCTCCGTGGAAAAACACTGAAACAGATGCCTAGAAGCTATTGTAAACAAGCAGCTTTGGTGGAAAATTGCCAGGCTGAATACATAGACCTTGTAGATAGGTAGCCTTGGTGGATAGTACCAACTTAGATAAGGACAAGTGAATCATAGGCAGTCATAGTGATCTGTCCCCTGAACCTTCACCCAGCTGACACTCTGTTCTGGAAGATATCTGTACTCTCCCTGAACACCCACATTCCTGCGTCATCCCCTTCCCCACATCCTGCCTTTTTGTGTATATAACCTGTGTGTGAAAAAGTAAAAATGGCGATCTGATCAGACTATAGACAGGTCGTCATTTTCTTGTGTTCACCTGTTTCCCTCACCTTCTCTTTCAGGTGATCTCCCTGGACCCCTGTTTAATGCCCTGCTGGACAGGATAGATCTCTATGTTTTAGCTTGAAGAATCTAGAACACAGATGTGAATAAAGAAGTTCAATGAAATCACTGTGTATGCTTCCTTAATCAGATTGTGGGTTTCTGGGCTGTTCAAGTCCAACAGCATATCACATACTTTTAAGCATTATTTTTCTATGCAGAGTTTGTGTATTTCCTCAGGACATTACTGAACTTTTAAACACATGATGAAGGCTGTAACAGGCAATGCTTCTCTAAAACCTTTAAGACAGTTTTAGAATGTATTTGCTACCACTTATAAAGCACACAGTTTTATAACCATTACTGTGCAGTCTTTTTGCTTACAATGCCAAGGCTTTCTAGTTCTGTGGCAACTGACAGCAGAAAGGTTCTCTCAGCTCACTGAGGTACCAACAATATTACATGGTGACAATACAGTGCTTGATGACTGTGAAAATACTGCACGTCTACCATTATCTAAAAGATATTTTAAAAATGTATCTACTAAACAGAATGCTTCTATGAAATTCAATCCAAAAATCAAATTTATTAGATCTACCTTATTGTGGAGATACAAACTTTCAGGTAGCCTAGAAAATCCATTTTCCCGTACCATGTACTAAAAATTAATAAATAAAAACTCCAAAGGTGAGTCATTCCTTCCCTTAACTAAAATGAACTTAAACAATAATCTCCCAGGGCTGGTAGTGCAGGTCTGAAATCCCAGTCCTCCTGGCCGAGGCAAGAAGAGCACCAGTTTGAGAGCAGATATAAACTGCACGGAAACCCTATCTCCAAACTCCCGGGAGCTACAACGTAGTTTTAGTGTTTGTACAGCTGCCAAGCCAGTGCAAGGACCTAAGTTTAACTTCCAGTAGCCAACTGAAACATGTTCACGTCACTGAAATATCTCACGCCTCCTATTTCAAAGCAGTTTATGCAGTTTATTTCATACAAATTCCATGGAAGTTTTTAAATATCTCAGGATAATGTCTTTTTTGTGTGTGGAGAATATATATATATATATACAAATTTTTCTTTTTCAAAAATAAAAACTAATTCAGCAATCCATTTGTTGCTGGCTCCCGATACACATACAAAAGGATGCAACAGTCAGTCAGAATTCAATCCTTAGAAACAAAGTGTCCGCTTTAACTGTTCTCTTGTATTTTCTGAAGAAGGTACTCCATCTGTAAATTCAGGTTCGGCTGGCCCTTTTTAGTCTTTTTGCTCAGGATTTTGAAAGTTTCCATTTTTTTCTTTCTGTAGAGCCTTTGAGCCTCTTCTCTCTCTTGCTTTCTCATCTCAAATTCCTGTGACCATAAACACACATGACATGCATTAGTCATAAACAGGAAATACAGGTCAGAAATTGTTGTGAAATTGCTGTCACCCTGCAAGCCTTGATAATCTGTCTTTTGTGTTGTGTATGAGGGGAACTGACGTAGTTGTCCTCTTTGCTCTAATACCATGATATAAGGAACAGCACAGAATAACAAGAGTCAGGGCAGCACTTGATGCATTGCTATGTCGAGTCTTCAATTTCACTGAGAAGTCAAATATTTAATTAACAATTTCATTGTTTAAATCCACTAACGAATTAGCCCTCTAATTCTTTATGGTGGTGGTGGTGGGGGTTGGGGGGATGATGGATCCTTTCCAGAGGTTAACTGTTAATATCCTGGTAACACTAAAAAGTTCATTCCAAGAAAACTGACTTGTATTTTGTTGTTGTTGTTATTAAATAATTCACAGATTTAACCTAGAAAATGCTGACTACCTACCTACTATATAAGTGCAAAACATTCTGCTAGACATGAGGTTCACCATCTAAGGACTAGGATGCTCGTTTCACTTGCTACGATGAAAATTCAAATCTAAGTATAGAGGACTATAATTCAAAATGATAATAGTTCTGAAGACTCAGGATTCAACAAGCACTCTGACATTATTAGCATCAATGTAATAGCTGAAAAGACACAGTACTGTATATTAAATGCATTCTTCATTTCTGGTCCAGCGAGCCTCAAAATGATACACTAGACTTACACTTACTTGTAACTACAAGTAATTATAATTAGCAAGGAATCATACGTGCAATTTGTGAAACTATAGCATATATTATCCTTCCAGAAACGTTACAGTTTACTTTGTTGGTCTTACATACAATGACTAAGCTCGGAGATGAAGCTGTGCCTTGCTGGGGACCTCTCTGTGGCAGAGCGCGGTTTTATAAACAGATTCTCAAGTGCTCATCACGCTACATCACATTACTTAAAATCAGTTAACCATATATTTACTTTAAACATACATGAGGATAAGGAGCTGGGCGTAGTAGAGCATGTGTTGAAGCAAGAGGATCTCTGAGTTCCAGGCCAGCCAGAGCTACATGGTGAGACTCCGCCTCAAGAAAGATCTGAAAATTATTCATTAATTTTCTTAAATTAAGAAAATCATCAATATTTTGAATACTTAGGTCTCAAGAACTCAAATTTAAGCACATGAAAGTTTCAAGGAACTTGCTAAAGAACCCAGTTCCTAGGCCCTAGTTTGAGAAACATTATCACAGATGCTCATTTTAACTTACCAGCAACATTTTTTTTTTTGCTTGCTTGTTTGTTTTTTAAATCTTATCACTGATCTACTAGGATTGTCTGAGCCAATCAAGAACTTTGAAAATTACATAATTCTGCAAGTCTACTGAGTAAAGCAAAAAAATAAGTATTAAAGCAGACAATATTATGTGTCAATACTCAGAAGCATAGCTTGCACACATGTTAAAGATAAAGAGAAACAAGGCTAAATAATCACACAGCAGGACTTACGAATTTCTTAGCAGCACGCTTCGCTTGTATTCGTTCATACTCTTCCTGTGCCTTTTGGTTTGAAGTTTTCTTTTTCTTTTTCTTTGGAAAAGTCACAGAACTTGCAAGATAGATTAAGATAGGTAAGTTATATCATTGAAAAATGATTCAGCCAAAATTATGCAACTGTGTCAAATCCAGTATTTATATACAAAAAGTTCACTAATTCAAACTGAAGGAAGCATGAGGATAATACCAATACCAGCTACAGCAACAACAAAAGGAAAATGCCCAAATAAGACATTAAAGCTATAGAATAGTCATAATTACAGATTAAAGGATGATAAATGGAGATTTGAGGGAGAAATATTTAACAAGCATGGATGAATGGATAGCAAACTGTTAATAACAGATGGTAAGTACCAGATGCAAGAGAGGTATAAACAAACCTCAGTGTGACTGCTTTTGCCACCTTGTGTCTGTCTGTCCTCTTACCACAAGTCATCCCTCCTAGAACAGTCTTCATTTGTCTTGCTCTACACTGAAGCACTCTAAGCTCTTGGAAAGGGAAGTCACTAGTGTGTCACTTGTTCCCGTGAGTCTTACCTTCTTGGGTCATAACTATAACCTATTTCAGCAGCTCCCTAGTTAAGAATAAATGCATATGTCTTCCATTACCAAAGTCTACCCGGGTCTGCTAATAATGTTTAGCTTTTCACAGTAAATTTCTGCACAAAGAATAAAGTAGTCATGACTTCCAACTCACTCCCTGACTCTCTGACACATGATCTCTGCTCCACAATTCCAAACTGTCCTTACCAAGACAGTACTGATCTTCTAGTCCCAAATATCCAATAGGCTTTGCGTTTCCTTCTATTATTTACTTCTGAGAACTTCAGTTTGAGATAGTGTCATTCTTCACTTCCAATTCTCATGCATGTGAGTGTTCCTGTAGGTTTGGGCATCACCGTATTTGAGGCAAGGTCTCTCCACACACCAGGGGGCTAGCCAGTGAGCTCAGAGGATCTACCTTACTCATTTAATATTTCATGACAGAAGAGTCTACTGAAAACAAAATAAAACCAACCCTCATTTCTTCCTTTATCCCCACTATATACTTTGTTCTTATTTGCAGCACAACTAATGCTCAATTTTCTTTTCCTTTTTTAAATTGAGAAATATATATATATATATATATATATATATATATATATATATATTACTGATCAAATGTACCCACCATTCCTTCTTCTCCAATTCCTTCCCCATCCTTTACTTTTCCCTCGTATCCTTTTCCCTCCTAGCTTCATGTGCATCTTTTATATTTTTATTAAACTGAGTCCTCTTCCTGACGCCAGCATGTGCATGTGCATGGGTGTGGAGCCATCTACTGGAGCATGGGGAGTCTCTCAGGCATGTCTGTGGAAGACAGAGACTATGCCTCCTCAGCCATCAATTGACAAAATCTCCTAAGCTACATATAGAACTTTGTGAGTCCGCCCCCCCCACCCCAGTCCATGATGGAATTTTGCCTGGCTTCATCTTGCATATGTCCTGTGCATGCAATCATTGTCCCAGTTTTGGAAGACAACAGTTTTGGTTTATAAAAAAAAGAAGTTAAGATCTAAAGTGATGCCTTGCTGTGCATATGATAATGTAGTTTTGCCTGAATTGTATGTGTCAAAAGTTTTATAAACTAGCTCTTATAAAATCAAAGTGGTAAAGAGGGTTTTGTTTTAAGATAAAGTAGTGTCAGCTGGCCTGAAACTCGCCATCTACTCCAGCTGCGGCTCTAACTATTCAGTCCTCCTGTGTTAAACCTCCTCAGTACAGGGATTATCAGGGATCAGCCGGCACTCATCCAGAACAAAGTCCACGTGTGAAACATGTTGGTTGTTTCACAGGGTGGTATCTTATTATGTACCACAAGCTAGCTTTGAATTAACAGCAATCTTCCTGCTTCAGCCTTCTGAGAAGATTACAGGCATAATAAAACCATGCTTTGCTTGGTTTTCATTAAGTGAAACCTATTTCCTGTACCCTTTGCAGAAAAAGCAAATTAAAATACAGAGAACAGCAGTTAGCAGTCATAAAATTACCAATTATCAAGCATGATTTAGAATACTTGCTATAAATGAACATGACAGAATGTCATGAACTATCATGCTTTAGGAACATCATTGACCTGAGAAGATGATCAGGTTAAGGCTGTGCAAGATGCTGTACATAGTGGCTCTCAAAGACTTTTACACTATCCTTCCTGTCATAGTGGACACTGGTATACCAACATTGAAAGTCTGGTTTGATAATCTAAAGTGCCAATGGCTACACAGTTGCATTATTTTTCTAGTGTCTGGTTATGTTGCCCACGCTGGCCTGGAACTGGAAATTGTCTGGTCTCAGCTTCCCAAATGTTGGGCTTACAGATCTACAACATCACGCCCAGCCCCCACCCCACATTAAGACACACACATTAATAACTAGGCTTAATTACAGTCCAATTCTATTACTTGTTCTTGAGCGGCCGCAATTCAAAGCTCGGATCTATTCTTATTTCATATTTTCCCCATCTATGCAGTCATTTAATGCTACAAGGGAAGTGTTATATTATTACATGACATGAAAAATGTGTTAAGAAACATTTTAATTCTTACACAAGTTTCTCTGTATCTTCAATAAAACATTATTTAAAGTAAAGAATTTGAAAAGAAGAAAGTGCATACTTTACTGTATTCAGCTCTTCTGGCTGAGGCTGGTGAACACTCGACTGTTCTTCAGACAAAGTCTGCTCAGTGTTGCCTTCCTCTTCAGGCAAAGGCTGGTCAGCTTGTTCTTCTGACAAAGCCAGGGCAACCTTTCTTCGTTGTTTTCTGAGTCGTTCTTCTTCGGCTAGATAGAGGTGTTTCAGATGCTCTGGGTAATGATCTGTGAACTGGGATTCCTGTGGGGTTGGTGCCTTCTTCACCTTCCACAGTAATTTCTTGTAATTTTGCTGGATCTTCAGTTTTCTCCGAAATGCAAAACCTTGTCCTAGCATTGAAGGATTTCAGTCACAATTACTTTAACAGAAAGTGAAAAATTAAATGAAGATTTTTTCTTTTACATTATATTCAAACGATAGAATTACTTGGCTTTGCTTTAAAGATTAAGTTAGGCAACACATTTAATGATACACTGAAGAGCAAGCTGGCCCTTTTCCTGAACATAAGGCTAACACTTGTCAGACACCACATAAAAACTTCTAAGTACAGTAAACTAAACTTTACTGCTCAGCTTGAATTTTTGTTTTGTTTTGTTTTGTTTTTTTTCGAGACATGGTTTCTCTGTGTAGTCCTAGCTGTCCTGGAACTCACTCTGTAGACCAGGCTGGCCTCGAACTCAGAAATCCGCCTGCCTCTGCCTCCCAAGTGCTGGGATTAAAGGCGTGCGCCACCACCGCCCGGCTCAGCTTGAATTTATAATCATATTCACAAATTATATTTTCTTTAATTCACACAAAATCTCACTTGGGTCTTCAGTAAATACTGAAAAACAAGGTAGGGTAATCTATTATTTTTCCCTTGGAGAAATTTACTAATCGCTTATTTTCCAAAATAAAACACAAAACAACAAAAGAGGGGTACTGTACAACTTTCTGAACACCTGTCAGTTATTATTAGATAAACACTTAACCATTTGACGTTCAATGAGAGGCCTTACAAGGACAAGACATCGAATCTAAGACAGCAGTATGAGACTAGAGGGCTACTGCGGTGTTTTTTACTTATCAAAGCTTTGGGGCAGTGTATTTTTTAACCCGATCTTTCGCTCTTTCCTTTGCTGTAATATATACGCCAAGTATGTCTGTATGCTGCTCAGCCAAGTGCACCTAGACGATCCGTGCTTCTGCTTAGACGAAAGAGCTGCGTTAAATGATTTAAGTTGACAGCACCGTCCGATTCTCCCATGCACAGGGCTGAGAAGCTCTCGGGTTTGGCGTGCTTAGGAACCGCTTTCTCGATCTCAAGGTAGACCCAGTTCACGTCCTTTTTCCAAGCCGGGACCCATCGTGCACCCTCGGATCCCGCGGGCCCGAGGACTCCTCCACGGCTGTCTCCTTACATACCCTCGCGCACGCTCCCCAGGAAGGCTTGCTGGTGGCTCGGCCGCCAGGTCCTGCGTTTCCCATTCTGGTTTCCGAATCTGACCTGAGGAGTCCCTTCCCCACGCGCCGCAAACCCTCCGGTCCGCCACCTCGAAGACGGTCGCCCGGGCGCCATTTTCCACCACGGGGTTCCTAGAACTACAGTGGACGCCGACATAATACGTCATCAGGCAAAAGCAATCAATCGCTCCCCCCAAAACTAGCGCATGCTCGGAGCTCGACTGCTTCAGCCCGTGCTGCTTCCGGGGATGGGGAGAGAGGTGTCGCGCGGCCATGTTGGCGCCACCTGCAGCCCTGGAGGGTGAGCGTCATGGCGGCGGCCTGCTCTCTCCCCAGGACCCTGGACCTGCCCACGTTGCACGCCAAGTTACAGGACTTGCTGAGCTTCCTAAGGGGCGCTCTGGCTATTTCCAGCGCGCACACGGTGGACTTCTACACCAAGTCGATCTGGCAGGAGCTGGTCGACCTGCCCCCTGAGAGCGTGCTGGCGGCGCTGAGGAAGTCGGCGGCGGAGGCCGAGCCGCGTGAGGCGAAGCTTCCCCTGGGGGAGGCGGAGGCGGGTGAGTGGCAGGGCGGGCGGGAGGGGCGGGTGTCAGCGCGCCCCCTGGTGGAACTCGGCGGAAGTGGCAGGGACTTGCAGGATGCTAGGAGATGAATTAGAGGGATCGGAACAGCGAGGGTGGGCTGGGTCCGGCCAGGGTCCCCTCCTGGTTCTAGTCCGGGTGTTGGTAGAGTTCCATAATTTAAAAGTAGTCAACACAAGGAAGAGGCGTTCCTTCACTTAATGATTCGACAGTTTAGTTTTGGAAACATCCAAAGACAACGTGACGATCCATACAACCTTGAAGTGAGTTTGGGAAGACCATTTAAGAGCCGGTTCCTAATCAGTACAAGGACGATTGCAGAGGATTAGGATGGTGATAGTGGGAGTTTTGAATGCTCCCTAGTTTATTCGAAAACTATGTGCTTTCAATATCAGTTATGCGCCCTGATGTTTTCTAGGCTCTGGAGTTTCATACCCTTAAGAAACTTAGATTCTGCCAAGTTTCTGTTTTGGAAATAGACAAAAGAACAGTAGCCGCTAGCGACTGGAATTGCTTGTGCGTTGCTTCCAGGTTTTCCAGGTGTTGTCAACGTTAGAGAATATACTTCACCACTGAAGTATCCTGTAAATGCACAGTGCCACCTGGGATGGAGGTGGAGGGTATAGGGGGTGTTTTCATGATAGCACTTGAGAAATGATGCTTCTTGGCAATCATTCTTGGTTGTTGGAAAGTTAGGCACCCTTTCAGTTTGTTCCCGTAGTATTTATTCTGCGTTGATAATTTGGTTCATAAACTTGTAAAAAGCAGGAACTGCGTTTGCCTTAACAACAGATGGATTCCAACATGTGGAAAAATATTTGGCATACATTAAGTGCTCCATGAAATATTTGTTGAACAAATGACTCTTCTTGGCTTTCAAAAAGCTAAAAAATAAGCCAAAGAAAATGCAAGAAAACAACTTTTAAGGGCAGAACAAGACTTTGTTTAAGTTGGTCTCTACCTGATGGGATATTACCTTACATATAGCTTAATTCATTGGTGCCATTGTATGTTCTGCAGTTTGCTTTTGCTAGGTGCATGAGTATTTTTTTTTCTTTTTTCTCTGTTCATATGTGTGTGTGTGTGTGTGTGTGTGTGTGTGTGTGTCTGTGCGTATACCTGCCTGCCCTCATGTGGAAAGTCAGCTTCTAGTATTATTTCTCGGGAGCTCTGCACCTTGTCTTTTGAGACAGGGGCTGACAGTTAGGATAGGCTGGCCAGCCAGTAAGCTTTAGTACCTAACCAATTCTTCCCCTTCCCCATCCCCCCTTGCCCAATACTAGAATTGCAAGTCTATACCACCACACCTAGCTTTTATTGTGGATACACAGGCCCCAATGCTTATAAGGCAAGCATTTTTACCATCTGGCCCCTATTTTCTCTTAATCTTTGTATTGCAAATCGAGATTCCTTAATTTCGGATTTGTGACTTCACAGCTTAAAATAATTTACCAGGGATGCAGGCTTTAGTGGAAGATTAGACTCTCAATTTTGTATCACCTGACTCCATGGGATGGCCTTTCAATGTGCATGTTTAAATCGGTTGATTTGTTTAGCAAACAATTACTAAGTCAGGTTTTCATGAGAATCATTACTTAGTAGTCCCAATGCCCTCCTTCCTTAGCTTTTTTCTTGCCTTTTCCCATAAGCAGTAATGTTGAGAGTATTTTGTCCATTACTTTAGAACGATATATGGTCATTGTAGATGTTTAGTAGATATTGGCAAAGTGTAAAGTGTAACGAGTAGATCAGTGAAACCACTTCTTTGTTTCCTTAGGCTAAGAATGAATTCTAATATTTGTGTCCATGCATACATGCATGCATGAAAGTCTAAGAACCAATTGCGCGTGTGTGTGTGTGTGTGTGTGTGTGTGTGTGTGTGTGTGTCTGTCTGTCTGTCTAATGACAACAGAGACTAGACTGGATTATCAACCTTGGAAATGTCTCTGGACCTGATAACTTTTTGAGCATAAAACACCCAATTTTATAAATTCCCAGCTGTTTTATGAGCTAATTTATTGGAAGCATTCCTTAGGATTTTCTCATCTAGCTCTGTGAAGAGACAGCATGATGCCATGCAGGCAGACATGGCTGTAGAAGGAGCTGAGGCCTACATCTTGATCTCAGGCTGCATGAAGAGACTCTGCCATTAGGCCAGCTTGAGCTGCTGAGATCTCAGAGTCTACCCACTAGTGACACATTTCCTCCAACCGAGTCCCAACTACTTCAACAAGGTTGAATCTAATAATGCTACTCCCTGTGGGCAAGCATTCAAACACATGATCTATGGCGCCTTTCCTATTCAGTCCACCACAAGCTCTCTCTAAACTTGTGAGGAAATCCAGCAGAGGAACAAATTAAGCAAAGTTTACATCCAAGTGGGTGGGATCACAGACCCCAGCAATTGTATAAAACGATGCCAAATCAAGTATTCCTTTCAACTGGAATTTTATTCTCATTTCTCTCACAGCAGTTTAAGAGTTAAATTATTATAATGTTTACAGATGTCTATAAGAAAGTCCTGTGTGTTGAGCATCGTCCAGAGGATACTTTTGGTGTGTATGTGATGTATATTCACATGTATGTAATGTATATGTACATCCATGTAATGTAATATAAATGTACGTGTATGTAATGGGACACATATATGATACGCAGCTTTTGTTTTCTCAAATCTAGTTGTTTGTCTCAATTTGTCAACATTTTGAATCCTTTTTAGCATATAAAGGGAGTTTCAATTATTTTGAAAAATTTGTACATCTGTATGTCTTAATCATATTCAGCCATCTTTACCTTGCTTTGTTCCCTCTCTCTCCTGCTTAACGCCTTACTTTCTTCTTCCTAATTATCCTCCTTCCTACTTTAAGGTCTTTGTGTGTGTGTGTGTGTGTGTGTGTGTGTGTGTGCAATCATGCATGTGTGACGTCTCACTGATTTTAGTTAGAGTTGCTTGTATGAGTATCCGTGTAGTGTTATTTACTGGAGCATGAGCAACTTGCCAGTGTCTGGACTCCTGAGAAAAATGTGTCCCAACATCAACTGCCACTAGCCATGGATGATTTTTACTCTTCCAACATAAAAACATGTAGTATCTCAGTTGTTACATTGCTCTCCAGTTACTCTCTCCAATTCTATACAATACAATTCTTACTGTTTGCCCAATAGTCAAGCTGTTCCTCACTGAAAACCTTTTCCACATGTTGTTGTGTGTGTGTGGTATATGTATATGTGTATATGTATGTTTTGTGAGGTATGCACATGCATTTGTGCATGCGTGTTAAGAGCTGGTATTGATGTCCAGTTTCTTCCTTGATTGCTCTCCACATGGTAGTCAGGATCTCATGATGAAGCAGGAGCTTGCCTTTTTGGCTAGTCTGTCTAGTCAGCTTTTCCAAGGAGTCCCTGTCTCTCTCTCCCACAAGCTGGAGTTATAGAGAGTGGATTGATCAGTTTTGTCAGCTTGATAGGAACTGGAATTCTTTGGGAAGAACAAACCTTAATTGAGCAGGTGCTCCCATCAGACCCGCCAAGTCTGGTGGGAAGTTTTCTTTATTCAAGAACTGATATGGGATCACCCAGCCCACCATAGGCCCAGCTACCCCTGGGCAGGAGGTGGTCCCAGGTTATATAAAAAAGCAGGCTGTAGAGCCATGGAGAGAAAGCCAAGAAGCTTTATTCCTCCATGGCCTCGGCTTTCGTCCCTGCTTACAGGGACCTGACTGCTGGAGTTCTTGCCTTGCTTTCCCTCAATGTTGGACTGATTACGACATGTAAGCCAAATTCACGCTTTCTTCCTCAAGTATGATTGGTTGTGGTCTTTTCCCACCACAGTAGGAGGTCACCTAGGACAGGGAGGCTACTGAATTCATCTGTCTTTAGAGGGTAGAGGCTCCTGACTGTAGTTTTCGTGATTGCGAGGCAAGCATTTCACCCCAACCTTTCTCTCTACCGCTGTTCTTTATCTCTAGTGTGCTGTAGGGTTTGAGGGTCTTCATGCCATTTTTGTGTCCATGACTGCAACTTCACAGTAGTACACACCCCTGAATTACTTTGCTTTTTATCTATTTTTTTATTTTGCAAATGCATTTCTAAATTTGTCGCATTGTATAGTGTATTTCTGAACAAATTAAGGTACGTAGGAAATTTTAAATTCAGCTATTATGGTTAATTCTACTTTTATATTTACTTTCTTTTTCAAGTGTATGTAGTTCATTGTGACGATGCTTTTAGAATGATTGACTGTATTTATGCATTCATTATGTGTTAATATCGGTGTGGTGCGGAGCTGCACCTCAGTCCTTCTTAATATGTACTGTTTCATCCAAAAGCATGGTTTGCATGTTGAAATAATATACTTTTCATTTTATGTACAACAATAAGTTAAGCTAGAGTTGTTTAGACAAAAAAAGAAAAAGAGTAAGTCCTAGCATATAATTGGATCATGTAATTGATTCTTATTAAAAGCAACAATATGTATTATTGTTCTCTGTACATTACAATATGATGGATATTTGCAAAGTTTGTAGGATTTAACAGAAAGAAAGATTTAACTTTTGGCTATTAAACAGTTAACAATTAAACCCTGTAGACAACTGTTGAACAAACCAAAGCCTTAAAAACTTGTATTAAATTTTCATGGGATAATAATTTCTTTTTTAGAAAAAAAAAAAAAAACACACTCAGTTCATCCACCACTTGGGGAACATTGTGGTTTTTATCCAAAGGGAAACTGCCATGAGGCTTTTGTGCAGTGCTGGAACTAACGGGGTTTGCCCCGTAGCAGTGATGGCAGGAGTTTTCAGATGAAAGACAGTTTTACATCAGCTGGATGGCTAGCTGGATTCGAATTGAAGGCACACAGAATGAGAAAGATAAAAAGA